CTGAATTTTCACAAATCATCCGGGAACAAATCTTATTTAGAGAAATTCAAACAAAGAATGCAGCAGCTGATTCAGAAATCAGTTACTGAATGCTTCACAGTGCCATTTAATATTCAGGATGATGTATAGGGAAGGAATAGAGGGTGATTTTGCATTTGGCCCTCACACAGCAAAATTATAAGATGAGTTTTTTTCTCTTTGACTACTAGCTTAGAAATAATTTATTTTAAGCTTTTGGGCCTGAAAACTTTAGTTCAAAAACTACATATTTGTTCTTATGCCTGTGTTCATAAAACTTTGCTAAATGTCTTATATGTGTTAAAATGGAGAATGAAAGAGATGAGTTTCAAGAGCCTTTAACAGATAAATTCTAACAATCAAATAGAAAATAGAACATTAATGTTAAGAAAATGCTATAAAAATGTAGGAAGAAATGAATAACTGGAAATAGAGTACTTAGCATTACAAAGTGCTAAGTTTTCTAAATCAGTTATCTTATGAGTTTTTCGTGCACTGTTAATACTGGCAATATACTGCATGAANCTAAATCAGTTATCTTATGAGTTTTTCGTGCACTGTTAATACTGGCAATATACTGCATGAATAATGCAGTTGGGATGATTTCTCCTTGGGTGGATTGCTAGTTCTGGAAATCAGGAAAACTGAAGAGTGAACTGAAAAGCCTATCAGCCTACAGAATGTACTACAGCCTCTAAAACATGCAACGTCTAATTACGGCAATTTAGGAAGTGTAGTATAAATAATAGTAAATGTATTTCATAGTTGCCTATCTTAAAGTCCTCTCCATTTAGCTCATAATATAGTCTTTAAAAAAATCCCAGATGTGAATGGATATATGTTTTTTTTTCAATTTTCCAGCATTGAGTGTACAAGAAACCAAAACCGTCATGGGGGGCATGCGGATGAGTTGCATGGCACAACTGTCATTTCTGTTTTAATTGCATGTCCTGTTTTTGAATCTGCAAAAGTCTATAGTGCATACATGTGTGTCCTGTGTATGGTATTTTTGCCTGATAGTGTGTTTGAGTTCTTTCTGGCTCTTTTTCTAGCAGAGTTTAATCCACAGATTTCTTCATTGGAGAATTTGTGAAATAAAAGTGAGTTAATTTGTGTTACACACTCTCTTAGATAACCTAGATCTACAAACTGCTTGGCTAAGGCTAAAAAGTAGAAAATTCAAAGAAACATATGAATTGACTCTAGTTGGCCATTAATGAATTAAAAAAATATTTTTTATCTTGGTTTAATTTTGATATTTTTTCAGAATTA